TCTCAATGTACAATTTTAGAGATGTTTTTTGGGTCATGTTTGTGCAGGTTCTCACCTATTTCCAAATGAATGTCAGGGTAGCGCTCTTTCAGCGTATCAGCCACACTGTCCGTCTGGATTCGAGCCAACTGAGATAAAAGAGCACAGCACCATTCATGTTTGGTTGAGTCCTGTGCTCTCACTTTGTTTAACATTCAACCGTTCATGAGAAATATGAAACCATTAAAAAAGAGAGAAGGAGGATTCGTGTAGAAGTGGAGTCACAACAATGATATTTCTGTTTGGGTTTTCTACAATAATTCTCAACAATTACAACCTTTGTGGACTATGTTTGCATTTAAACTGAGATGAGTGTAAGTCGACTGAAGCAGATTGAGAAGTTAATAAACATGGTTCTTTACCTGGCTTTTGCGGGTTCCTATCCGAATGACCCGGTTAACCGTGCCGTTCCCATCCTGAGGAGAAAAATGAGAGACAAAAAGCAACATTTACCTTACGCAGAAGCTTTAACTGATCTGCTTCACATTTACAACCACTTCTGCAACTGCAGTGTCACTGTCTGTGCTGGCCTCACCCTGATGTATTTGTAAGGTCCTTCCTCCATTAATGCCTAGTCTGTGTGCAGTGTCTACACTGTAGAGGCTATTGTGTTCACTGTGAGCCAGTGGCCGCCTGCTGTGACTTGGTAAAAAGTGTTGCTGAGGTCACATGGCCTCTAGATACTGAACAGTGGTCTTTCTTTTTCTTTTTGCCAGACACCACCCTTCTACTTCAGAATCTCCACCCCAATCCATCTCTGCTCAGGAGAGATAAGTATGCCAATTCACTCAAGTCCGTTACAAAGAGCTGGGAGGGGCAGCTAAGGAGGATCCAGGGAGTGAGGTGTGGTCATAAAACTTACACAAATATTAATTTATAGCTATAATTACAGTACATACAGTAAATATATTTACATTTATATACATATATATATCAAATAGTATATTCAATATATGTAATTCTCCAAAATAAAGTGCTAGTGATGAGGTATTTTGGGATTAACTACTACTTGATCAGCTAAGTAGGAAGCCAGCAATGGTTTTAATGGTATACTGTCATAAACTGACAAACCAAATTAGTTGTTTATCTATGAAAAATAAGTTTTGGAGCAATCAGGAGGTGAATTTTTCCAATCTTCTGTTTGCAAATTCAGTAATGTTATTGCAAAAAAAAAAAAAAAATACACAGATGATCGATCTTTAAGGACATACAACTTTGCTCCAGCAAAACCGATACAGGGTATATTTAGGACAAACTACACACACTGTATTTGCAAACAAACAATATATTCATACAAACTACCTTAAAATTAACATGTCATGTGAATAAAATTCAATTAAACACTACATCAGAGGGAATGTTAACACTGTGGATATTTATACTACATTCTGACGATGGTCAGCTTAAACCGTTTTCCATCATTTCATTACCGTAAAGTCAATTCGCGTTTTTATTCGAAAAAGAAGAGCTGGCAGTTCAACCGATACAATTTGTCAGCTCAAGTCACTGTTGCAGCCTACAATCACGCTGCTAAAAGTACCGTCCTCAGATTCGTCGGTACCCAATTGAATATAAGAACGCCAAAACTGACGTAAACCTTAGCCAATCAGCGTGCTTCAGAAGACTTTGACAGGATAAAATGGCGCTCCCCAGTCCAGCCAGCAAAGTAAGCATAAACTTCGTGTACACAGCAAATCTAGGCGCTCAGTTAAGGTAAAAAACTCACTGGACTGGAGTTATCCTCCGACATGTCGTAAACTTCTGCTTCTCCTCCACAGATGTTGTTCTAATCACTACCGCTTCTCTTGAACAGCGACTCCATTAGACAGTCGAGACGGAATCCCAGGTCTCATTCAGTTCTGACACGAATGGACGCGCTATTTCCTGCTGTGGCTGAACTGAGTAAGGTCATTTCCTCCTTCCGTCCGTCGCACTAGGAAGACAAATTAAAGTTTCCCAATGTAATTACATTATACTGTGTGTTGATTACATGATGAATATTTTATATTGTTCTACCCCAAAGCGTTTTTATATCATTAACATATTGGGTTACATCGCATAATGACTTTGTCATTGCCAAAATACCTGGAAGCTGAAATAACTACATACTAATAAACCTAAATCAAACAAACTCAAAACTATGTACTTATCTTTACCACAAAAAAACAAACAAAATAAAGAAGCATTCAAGGAGTAGTGCTATGTGTGTGACGAGTTAATTAAGTACTCGTGCAAGTGCAACATTATTTTAAAGTGCAAGATATTGTTTATCCAAAATCATCCACATAACATTACTTGCAGACTTTCACAAAAGTTTGACAATCATTGTTGCATGTGAGCATTAGGTACCACACCTAATTTCGTCAATTATTTTCTGATTCCTAAATGAAAGTTTAGGTACTGGTTAACTGCCAACTGTGCAACATAAAAATGATGTGAAGAGAGCTGATCAGAGCTGTAACCCCTGCAGTTAAAATACCACTTGTGGTTACAGAGAGCTGCTGCAGCAACAGAGGGAAAAAAAGCATACAAAACTGCCCTCCAATATACTTTTATATTGCTTAGAAAAGTAAAATATTTGAGCTGCGTTGAGCTTTTTTATTTGATGAATCAAGTTTAACTTTAAAAAAAAAAAGTCAAATCAAAGCAAATTTTTAACCAAACTAAAATAATTCGGATAAACACACACTATCGCTCTCTAACGTCTGTGAAAGCACCTTGTACAATATTTTGGAGCCCACGTCACAGGTTTCCACGGTGGGCAGATCTAACGCTGCACTTCCGGTGGAGACGTGGCTCTGAGCAGCTGCCATATTGACGCTGGCTAACAGTCATACAAGTACAAGTGAACTAGCTGTACAGTCACACTCTGTTATTCCTATAAATCCTCATCAGACAGGACACACGGCAGACTGAAGACATTCGCCACGCAGATATATAGAGACCAAAATGGTGAGTAACGGTCGAAAAATGTGATTTGTTCTTGCGTTTAATCGGGCCTAGAATTTATCATAACATTGGCTAATGTGGCTAAGAGCTAGGGCTACTGAGTTAGCATTTCCAGGAACGAAGTTAGTGTAAATCGACGCAACTGGTTTAGCTAGATACAGGACAACATATGTTATGCATTCGTTTTTCAGCGAAACGTATAAACTATATTGTCATTATACATAACCGATTTCTGATTAATGTGCAACAAATATTGTGACCACTTATCGCTGACGTTAACTGGCTGTACAAGCTAGCGCTTCCATTAGCTGCTGTCAGTAGCCGGAACTAAGCCAGATGTACCTGCTGTCACGTTAACTTTAATTACACGGTCATTACAGTGCATTTGTCAAAGTGTGCATTAACATTATGTCAAAGTAGTCAAAGTTATGGAAAAACAGGTTATAGAAATGAATCGCAGATAGTCTACGTGGAGTTATTTAACAATGTACTTGAGCTCTTTCATTCCTAGCTGCAGCCATTGTCAACGTGGAATTAATACAAGTATTGCCAAATATGTGCAGTCTTTTTACATCCTCACCGACAATGAAATAATATTCGCGTACATCCATAATCAGCATATGTAATAACACATATTACATAATAACACCGTTATTTACTCCCCGTATCCTTAATTATACGGAGTTTCTACCTATTTTGCTTCATAGCTGCATATTTCTAAGCACACACTCCTTTCTCACATGTTTTAAGAGGCAAATCCTCTGGTCTATTACTTCATAAAGGTGCTATGTTGGATTGAATACTAGTGTTTACCTACTAGAAAACTTAGTCTCCAGCTCTTTTACTCAAATAGCCCGTCCTTAAGAACCAGTTTGCCAGAAGCTTTACAATGATACATAATACTGTCATTGTAGAGCTGGACTCGAACACCTGAAATAAATATATACAAATATTGGTACTTTAAAGGAGTCTTTTTTTTAAAGAAGTTGAGTTGGCATTTGCTGTATGTGTAGCAGTAAAAAGGAATGGTTATAGGTTGAGTATCTTGTTGCGATACAACACAAATTGTATTGTGGGCTTTTAATTGAGAGGTTATTTATTTGTATTAAAAATTATTAATAATTTATTAAATCTATGTTGTAAGTGTACTGCCACAGTTTTATCTCGTGACGAGCACAATAATAATAAATCACATTACCACATATTTATGTAAACATGCCAGATCCATGCAACAGGATAGCGTTTACCTGTAAGCCCCGTTTTGCTATTCTCCCTGTTAAGCATGTTAAAAATAACCGCTTCCCTGATTAGGTTTAATGTTTCTGAGCATCATACATTCTTCTTACCTGCAGGTGCTGTTGGCAGCGGCGGTGTGCACCAAGGCCGGCAAGGCCATTGTGTCGCGGCAGTTTGTGGAAATGACCCGAACACGTATTGAAGGTCTACTGGCTGCATTCCCTAAACTGATGAACACGGGCAAGCAGCACACTTTTGTTGAAACAGACAGTGTCCGCTACGTGTACCAGCCACTCGAAAAACTGTACATGGTCCTCATCACCACCAAAAACAGCAACATTCTGGAGGACCTGGAGACTCTCAGACTTTTCTCACGAGTGGTAAGAATTACCATGCTCACCATAGCTCACCAAAGATGTGATGCATTTATGCGTTTGAAAATGAAGTTGATGTCAAATGACAAATTGCTGTTATGTGTAGTAGTAAGTCATGGGAGATTTCAATTTATTACACATATTCAAAATCGTGATGCCTGCAGAACTTGATTATAAAATACAAAACTAACTTTTCTTGTTTTGGGGGAAATTGAATGTCAGCTAAACATTGATGGAAGTGAACGAAGAAAATAAAAAATAAGCCAATTTAGGACAAAAATATTTCACAAATAAAAATACTGAAGTTAAGTAAAGCTGTGTGGAAGTGATTACAATCTTTCTTAGTTAGCTGTTGGTATTTAAAATGCAATTATTTGTTCATTTAAATAGCAAAGTGGTCAAACAGGAAAACATTGGCAATTTTAAAAAAAGAACAAGAAAATGTGAAAGATCTTTATCAAATCATCTTCCTGTACTGCCTATGATTTCACGTTTGACATGACTAGGCTAAACATTTAGATGACACAATTTAAGAAAAGAGTGGAGCAGCAGAGAAATGGTATTTTAATGTTTATTTCCCCTCACCTGTTGTGCAAGATATTCTCAGAATGATCTGTCTGAAGCTTCACTATTGTCAGGTGCAAACATTTGTGGGAATTGGTCATTGTTTATTCTTGGCATGTCTGCAGCTCTACTGTAACGATCAAAGTACAAACATGACGTCATTGATAATATCTGTATTTCTTTAATTGTTGTATTATCTGATGATGAGCGATCAGTACAGAAATACTACAGACCTTCTTGGTAATAAAACCATAGCTTATTTCGATTTCTCAGTGCATATAAAATATACCTCAACGCAGCTTATCCTCTGTTATTGTTGCAGAGTGCAGGTGTGTTGCACAGGCAGTGTGAATCTGCAATAGAAAAGTCAAGCCACCTCACCTTTTGCTTTTGGAAATGGGGCTTCTTACTTTTTACATTTCAAATTCTTTTAGGCTTTGTTCATATGAAATACTGTAGTTATATTGTTATGAACATGTCTTCAGCCTAAACAAAGTCTTTCAAAAGTTTTAAACCTTCACCAACGTACTGATGTAATCTTTGTGAAATGTTTACTAATGTTTAAATGCTTAACAGTTATTTCTTTTTTCTCTATTTGCTCAGATTCCAGAATACTGCCGTGTGCTGGAAGAGAGTGAAATATCTGAGCACTGCTTTGACCTGATCTTTGCCTTCGATGAGATTGTCGCTCTGGGCTACAGAGAGAATGTCAACCTGGCTCAGATCCGCACTTTCACAGAGATGGAATCCCACGAGGAGAAGGTGTTCCGAGCTGTCAGAGAGGTAAAATCACAAAAAAGGACTTATGATGTGTTCTGTTTAAATAATAATAATATTTATATTAAGTATTGGTGATTGAAAAATGTTATACAGACTCAAGAAAGAGAGGCCAAGGCAGAAATGAGGAGGAAGGCCAAGGAGCTTCAACAGGCCAGGAAGGACGCTGAGCGTTCTGGAAAGAAGGTACCTGCCTTTGGTGGCTTTGGCAGCGGCGGCATGACCAGTGTCTCTTCAGGGTCCATTATCACAGACACCATTGTCGAGCCAGAGAAACCCAAGATGACACCCACTCCAGTCAGGTAACACCCGTTAGAAGCACATGAACTGCTGGTTCTTGGTTTGCTGTGGGCTGTACAGTCATGTTGGTTGATTTTTATTTGACAACTTATTGTTATTCTGTACAACTTTAGGGCAAGTGGATCCAGCAAGGCTCTGAAACTAGGCGCTAAAGGCAAAGAAGTGGACAACTTTGTTGACAAACTTAAGTCCGAGGGTGAAACCATCATGCCCTCATCAGGAAAAAGAGGATCAGAAATATCAAAGGCTCTGCCCCCACCAGTCAACATGGAGGGGTAATGACAAACAGAGTTGACTGTACATTGACTGTGTTGACTTCTGTATACAAATATATTTGTGTTTATATGTATATATAATTAACCATTTGTTGTGTTGTCCTTCTTAGTGTCCATCTCCGTGTGGAGGAGAAGATCTCGCTGACCTGTGGTCGCGACGGTGGCCTACAGAACATGGAGTTGCTGGGTTTAGTGACGCTCAGGGTCACAGATGACAAAAATGGCCGCATTCGCCTCATCATCAACAACAATGATAATAAAGGATTACAGTTGCAAGTAAGTCCTCCCACAATCACATAGTAACAAGTACTACAATTGTGTTTTAATCATCATTTATGATTTAGTCTGCATCGTTCTTTCGAGGAGTTAGAATATGGTGAATGTGTGAATGTTTTCAAATTTCCAGCAGTAAAACTAACAGTTTTCTTCACAGCATTTATCCTAATGACCATGTATAAGCTGTAGTGTAGACCAATGAGGTCACTTGTAATGGGGGTGCTGACAATGGTGTTTGTCTCCACTCAGACACATCCAAATGTGGACAAGAAGTTGTTTACAGCAGAGTCAGTGATTGGCCTGAAGAACCCAGAGAAGTCGTTCCCTCTCAACAATGATGTTGGTGTCTTGAAGTGGAGACTACAGACCACAGACGAGTCCCTCATACCTCTAACCAGTACGTTTGACTTCATCGTCTCAAAGAAACTAGTTTATACACCGACTGCTACTTGAGTTGATCTTGTGACCGTGATACCACACGACTCATTCGAGTTTTTTAGGTTTCTAATTATACATTTATTTTTAATATTTATTGTCTCCATTTAAAAAGAAATGAAACCAGACTTTGTGTAATGGACAACTTGAAAAAAAATCAATCTTTCCTTTCTCTTTGAGTCATATCATTTGTTGTGTTTTTCCTGATTCAAACCTTTTTTAAATGTCATCACATGCTTCCTTCGGTGTTTCTGTGCTCTTCTTTTTGTGTGTTTTTCCTCATTCAAACCTTTTTTAAATGTCATCACATCTTGTCTATATTATCAAATGGTTCTTCTGCTAAAACGGTTTTCCGCTCATGAAAATACTGCAACGCAGTTTAGGTCACAGCAAATAGTGATGCATGTCTTTATTATCAAATGGTTCTTCTGCTAAAACTGCACAAAGTGACAGCTTTGACATTGGATGGGTGTGAACATAGGCCCCACCTCAGATAAAGAACCTTTAGTCAGTCCTGTTTGACGCATTTATCTCTCATTTAGTCGAGTGCCTTGTAAAATCCTTTTGTCCTCAGTCGGTTGCTTTTTTTTTTTTTCTGCTGCTGTAAACAATGTTAAAATTATATTACAACAGTTTTTGATTACCTCATTGCATCTCACCTGTCTCTTAGTAAACTGCTGGCCTTCAGAGAGTGCCACTGGCTGTGATGTAAACATTGAATATGAGCTGCAGGAGGACAGCCTCGAGCTGAACGACGTGGTCATCAGCATCCCTGTACCGTAAGTTCATCTACTATGTCTGTGGAAACCAGTCTGCTGTGAAAATCACACACACTCTGTACATGCTGTATACCCAAGCACACACACACATGCATAGACCCAAGTTAAAAAATTAACTTAAATTATTTTTCAAAAATAGTTGTCTAACAGGAGTTAGATATTTGTTTTTCAACTGTATTTCATGGTATTCACAGATCTGGGGTAGGCGCTCCCGTCATTGGTGACTTGGACGGAGAGTACAAACACGACAGCAGACGAAACATCTTGGAGTGGTGCCTACCTGTCATTGATGCCAACAACAAAACCGGCAGCCTGGAGTTCAGCATCGCCGGCCAGCCTAATGATTTCTTCCCTGTCAATGTGTCCTTTGTCTCCAAGCGCAACTACTGCGACATCCAGGTGAGACTATTAACACACACGAGAACTCCTCTGTGGGTGGAGTGAGAACTAGAGGTTCCACTGATTGCAATTTCCAAATTTTTATTTATTTTTTTGCTATGTGTGACTTGCCAACACACTTTTTGCCAATTCAGATTTTTTTTTTTCACTTGACAGCGTTCACAAGTAGTAACAGAATGACTTGATGTAATGTGAGTGGCACAGTGATGAAAGCTGTGCTGTAACCAGAGACTCACACTTGTGATCCCTCACGGTGTGTCCCATATTACATTCATTTATAAACCCAATATCATATTTGTTGTCAGGCTTTTTTTTCTTCTTCAAAAAGAAAAGAATACAACAAATATTTGACCTACTATATAAAAAAGAACCATTGTTTTGTTGGTGCCACAAAGAAAACATTTTCATTTACCCTACTGAAAAATACACTTGTAGATAATGTGTGTTTAATATCGACATGCCTCTGATTCACTTTTCTCTTTCTCTTTTCCAGGTTACCAAAGTGACACACGTAGATGGCGACAGCTCCGTTAGATATTCTTCAGAAACCTCCTTCACCGTCGACAAATACGAAATCCTGTAAAAAGAAAATATTCAGAAAGCGACAGCATTATTAAAAAAACGAAAAAGAATCACCAACAAAAAAAGTCCTACGCTACAGAGATAGAATGAAGATTTCTTGCCTGCCCACCCTGTATATGTTTTCAGAGACTGTGTACATCAACAGGACTACATCAGCTCTCTGGCCAGGCCTCTTTCCATGGTGGAGCAGAGCAGCGGTGGTGTATTTATATGTTTGTATGACAGAGGATCATCTATATATAGAGTTAATTGAACAGGTAGAAAAGCCAACAGATCCACACTTAAAATCGAGAGGAAACGTCACTGATGCTGTAGTGTTGTGACCAACAACAGAAGTAACGAGGACTTGACACAAAGTAGAGGATGACTGTGTGGTGGGTGAGGGTGAGAGTGAGGCTGGGGGAGGCGGGATCCGGCATCAGTCCTCTCACGAAGGAGCACTGGTGGTTTAGCATGCTCCTCACACTTTGCTCCTTCACACTTTCATGGAAATGGTCTTGGATGGGGTTGTACTCTCTGTTTTTCCAGTTTCCTTTTCTCTGACGACTGCAGCGCCGTGGCTGTCTCAATCATTCAGCTGTTGTGATTTACTCTGTGGATTTCTCACTTCTCATGATAATGTTTTTCCTTTCTGAATAATGTACTCTCTTTTTTTTTTTACGAGGGAGGTTACCCTACGGTTCTGTGCTGGAAGGCAGGATAGAGCGCTGTGCTTAAACTATTTCCCCTCTGTTTACAACTGTCAACAGTATCATTTTGACCTTTTACTGTAACTTCCATCTGTTTGGTTTTTTTTTACTTTTCCAGGGTAAATTCTAAAAAAAATCATTTGGATTCTGACAGCGTAGATCAGAACTTCACGGGGGATTTTAAGCTGCAGGATGTCACTTTACTTTAAATTTGACATCGGCATCCATCCGCATCTTTTTTTTTTTTTTTTTTTGGTAACATGAACACTACCACTTTTTGTTTTGAGGGAAAAAATGCCTTTTTTAATCTGCTTTATTTTTTTCAGCCAATGATCAGGCCTTAGATAGGACAGAGTACAAAACATTTTGAGCTCAGCCCAAAGAGAACACCAAAGCCCTTAATCTACCATCTCAAAGGGCTTCACAGAGCTGAGAGAGGAGTGAGGGTAAAATAATGCTGTGATCACACAGCAGCAGTGCAGGCATCTCAGAATGTTGGACCTGATTCCATTCATGTCCAAGACAAGCAGACGCAGGACAACTGCTACACCACTGCTCATCCACCCCAGTCATCCTTTACTTACACTTCATAGTACTTCATTATCCCAAATAAAACTTTTGTCTTTCATATGTTCTGTTTTTTGTTTTTGTTTGTTTGTTTTTCATGTTCTGTTTTTTTTTGTTTTTGTTTGTTTGTTTTTCTTCCATTTGTACTCCCCAAATTTCAATTGAGCAATGGCTGTGTGGATGTGGGGGTTGAAAGTGGTTATTTTGAGCATTTTTAACAAAATTTCTGAAGGGGAATCTTAACATTCCAGTGTACAATTAGAAAAAAAATTCTTTAATGGAATAAAATGTATTATTGAAAATGTAAAATGTGACTTGTGTTTGTTGTTCAGAATTATTAACTCTGATTTAAATTACTCTTAGGAATCTATTATCAATATTTTCTGTGATTGTGGGTAAAACTACACTGGTGGCTTACCTTAGGTGACGGATTCCCAATGTGTAATTTACCCGAGTTGCCACTAGGGGGTGCGCGACATAAAATGTGATGGCGGTCTCCACGCGAGGGCGTCCTAACATAAAAATGATTCTTCCAGTGTGTACTTCACCCTGTTAGTCCGTCACATGATTAAATATAGAATTGAACAACCAATCACACTGACAGTCACAGCTGTGGTCAGTTTTAAATAATCAGTAATAATCAGTCCTGTACTATGAGAAAACTGATACTGAAAGACCATCAGTTTGTGTGGAGTCTTAAATCAGTGATCTTTTTGTTGTAAGGCAAGAATTGTCAACACAGTTCCACTGTTTGGTTCCTCACTAATTTGATTTATAAAAATAAATCAATAATCTTCAGATTATTTTATCTTTGTTATAATGAATTATCAATAATTAAAAACAATTATAAATAAATAATTTGAGTTAAATTTATTGGAGCGAAGATGATTGTTTTCCAGTCCTACAGACTGGTGGAACAGGTGGGAGAGTTCATCTGTGAGAGTGGGAGTGGGGCATTAAATGGGTCAGAAAGGGTGAGTTCAGGAAGACTCACCCATACTAGGACCATGTTGAAGGGGAAGACAGAGGATGGAGGGAGGTAGGGAGGGAGGAAAGGAGGGGTGTTAATAGCAGCCCTGCAGTCATAAAATGAGGGTGTGTCTGTTTTACGAATGAATGAGCAGGCTGATATGCTTTGTAAAGGGTCTCAGAGGAGGCAGAGGGGAGAAGGGGGGCAGCAGGGTGACGCTGGGGCAGACACTGTTGTCTTTGGCATGTTTTAAACACACACAGTCTGCAGGGCAGACACAGCTCACACTGTGGACCTCACCGTCAATGAGTCAGGGTCTGAGGAGCTGCACTGACTGGGAGTATTTACAGGACAGTAGCTGTGGGGTTTTTTTCTGAATGGAGTTCGGACGACAAAGAGTTTGGTAACGTCTGTCTGCAGTTTCTATTCACCGGGATTCTAAAATGATGCTCAAGAAAGTGAGATTTAAGGTAAGGGAAGGCAGGAAAAAAAGTAAAGTTTTATTTCAGGTTCTGTTTGATATAGAATTAAAAACTGTACATCAGCATTTTTGTGCTACTTAATTTGTAACCTGTGAACAAAAACTATTCTCACTGTTCATGTCAGTCCTACATGTTCTGTCTGTGAAACTAATGGAAAACAGAACTTTGAGTTAATCCCTAAGTTTTTTTCTTCCAAATAGTTTTGCTAGAAAAAGACAGCAGCTTAAGTTGTACTAAATAATAATAATAATAATAATTTTTCTTCTAAATAGTTTCGCTAGAAAAAGACAACAGCTTAAGTTGTGTTAAATAATAATAATAATAATAATTTACCCGCTTCAGGAGTGTGAGAGAGTTAATGAGACTGAAGAATGGTTTTATTGACAGTTTTGTCAGAGATTAAAAGCACCATAAAACAGTTCTGGGTGTTTGTCAGACTTCTCAAATAGGACAATAAAAAAGTCTCCTCTCGTGACTGGCTGCTTCTAATAAAAACATAATTGTTTAACAATTACGTTTTTTTTTTTCAAGTCCAATGTGTTTGTAATTTGTAGTTTGTAACAGAAGCAAGTATTTTGTTTCAGTCTGTAAAAGAGGAGACAGGTTTATTATCTGAAAATCAACTAACAAAATGACTGTGATTGAATATTCGATTGAAGAAGTTCCACCTGAACCGTGTGAAAGAACCCTTAATCTGACCTCTGGAAACACACGCTCCTGTGAAAACCTCCAGATGAACAAAGCTGTGCTGCATCTTCCTGCACTTCAAAGTGGAGACCTGCCACACCGAGGTGATAATTACAGCAACAGGTGGCGCTGCAGCTTCTGTCTCTCAGCAGCTTTGAACACAACCATTAGGGATTTACTGCTGTCACTAATGTTCGCTTCTCCTTTTGCATTTTATCATATTTTATCACGTGGTGAGATGAAGACACAGAAGGTGTGTTTGGCTACACCTAATGGTAAAAATGTGTAACTAACTAACACAACTTCTACTCATATCATTTTAACCTTTTTTTTTAGTAATTTAAAAAAGTAAATTAAAGCATGGTTGAATGGGTTTATAGAAATAACATTCACACCAGCTGACGTGTTCATTGTTTTATATATATATTTCCCTTCCTCTAAACAACATATTCTGCGCAGGAAGTTCGTGTTTATCACTTTGTAAATTGCTTATTTCCTGCACCTAATTGCACAAACAAACGCGGCCGCCTCAGCTCACGGGGACACGAGAGTCTCTGCTCTGACCGTGTCTGTCTAACAGAACAGAAGGTTAACAAAGTATAGTCCTAAAATAATGCGCAGTGGTGTGGATTTTACGACCTCAGCCTTTTGTTGTGGCTAAAATCTGTTTTTCATGGTGTCTCCACTGGCAGCCTGCTGTCAACAATGGCCTCTGAGAACTGGGAGCAGCCAAAACACGGCTGAAAAAATGTAGACTGTTCCTTCAAAAATGGTAAAAATAAGATAGTTATTTTTATTCGCCATGTGAGCAGATGGACTTTTGTCTCGAGTAGACTATGTCCCCTTATTTTATTTTATTTTATTTTATTTTATTTTATTTTATTTTATTTTATTTTTTATTTTTAACTTTAGCTTTTCCACTTAAAAAAAAAGAACCCACATAGTAGTGTTTTTCCCTGCAGGAGTGTAAACAGCCGGCAGGGGTCTCTCTCTCCAGGGAAGCGTCATTAGCATGTGTTAGTGTATTAGTTCCTGAACGACCAGTTCAGAGGCGCGTTAATCAAAGATGGTGGATGTGGACAAACACGGAGGTCGACTGCAGTCACCTGTTTTAGGCAGCTGTTCCCGTCGTCCCTTCAGAAGTGACACTTTTCCCGTCCAGTGCGTGAAAGAGGGTGAGAAAGTCAACAACAAACTACAAAGTCTAATGTGTACTGCTTGTCGTTAATGTTTGTGAACACCGCGGTAGTTTACAGATATTCTGGAATGATCTACGTCACAGTGGGAGACGTGTGTTCTGGTTATGTCTTTAAAAAAGCAGAAATATTGACGTAGGGTGAAGTGTTTGTTTTTGTGTTTTGAGTTGTGTTTTCTACCATTAAATCACCGTCAGGTTTCAAATGTGACACATTGCATGTGGGCTGTGGCCCACATGCTTAGAGGAAAAGGAGAGAAATTTCTACAGTATAATAGACCATGAATGCAACACCGTGTCACACAATTTCTACAGTACAATAGACCATGAATGCAACACCGTGTCAGCTTGTAGCTTTGTCAAAAATGCACAACAGCATGTCCCTTTAAAAAAATTGCATTTTGTTAGACTTAAAACATGAAAACAAACACGTTTAATATTTAAATTTAAACTAGTTTGATAGGTGTGTATGTTATAAACATACATATGGTAGCTAAGATATAGAATCATAGTATTTTGTAGAAGTTTGTATGCCTCACTTATGGAAGGACCTTTTTGAACTTTAGAAGCAGCAGAACTGGAGCGTCCTCCCAGAGGACATGGGATGAATTCTGTGTCTTTGTGTGGAATTTTCTTTGGTTGACAATCCCACCGCCCTCGGCAGCTTTCTCTTTGAATCTGTCTCTTCTCACCACTCTGCTACATTCTGTCTACAGCCTCCTCCTCAACACTAGCAGCTCTGACTTCCCACATTCACGCCGGGCCTTTTTCACCAACGTAGTTGTTCATGAGAGATTCAAATTACTGCTATTTGAGCCATTAGTCTCAGATAATGGATAAGGATCTTTGGAAATGATTCCTGTTTAATTAAAATAGAAAACAAATCTTTTGAGTTTATTATGACGAAAGTTGAAATTGAGAGCAATGAATAAGAATTACTGCATTTGTTTTATAATTATCTACCATCTTAATCGAGTGCATCCTTCGGTTCAGTGCTCAATGATGTTACAGTACTCATTTTTTACCACTAGGTGGCAGTAGTGCTACGCTTGTCCCCTGGTTTCTGGCTCAGACCTTACACCAAGGAGAATGATGATGCCTGAAGGCAAACTTCAATGTAATCTTTCATAAAAAAACCCAATCCTCACGGAGGAGAAAATATCTTTTATTATCAGAGACGGGAACAAACCGTCAGCGCTGACAGACGGAGCAGGACATTTAGACTGACACTGTTGAAGTCAAAGCTGAAGTGTTCTCCACTGTGACCCTGGGCCACACACTGTATGAGCATCAAGAGGAAACCCATCATCGCACCAACACTTCAGCTGTCGTTTATTTGGCCTCAATCTGCTTCATAAAAGATCTCTCTTTTTTTCTTTTTTTTTTTGTTGTTGCATGGCCGGCGTCTGCTTCACTCAGACGCTCGCTCCACTCCTCTCAAACGATCGTGTCCGTGTCCTTTGAGGCCTTTGATGTTTATAATGAGCACTTCCCTCCACTCAGTCCTGCAGCGGCAAACTGTATGTTTCTATAAAGGCGTGAGGATTTGAGTGGGTGCGTGGGTGCTGCCGCGGTGGCACAGGGGAAGATGGGAGCCGACCCAAATGTGCTGTTCAATAAAGATGAAAGCAGTGGGAGCTTTCACTGTTTCAGACGTCTGTGTGTTCCAAGTGTGAGGCTGTGTGGATGTGTTGTTGAGATGCATTGAAAAGGAGAGATTCACCTTTGACCCTCAGTGATTTGTGGTTACCCTGCGGGGGTAAAGAACAGATGAGTAGCTATAAGGCAGACATGGAACACTGTGGACTTTTTTTTTTGTTGTTTAGGTTTTTTGCCTTCATTAAAATGATGTAATGTCTGCAACGTTTAAAGCAACTGTTAAAAATATTTACTACTACGGGAAATCAGATGTTTATCGTTGGTGATGACTCAGTGTGGGTACAGGTGCAACGCTGTGGCTATAACCAGGAGTACT